TTGCATCTAGATGGTCACTTGCAAGCTTTTAAGATGCCAGTCGCTACTCACCAAGGTAGGATGTGGAACAATATTTTGTGTAGTGTATTATGCCCCTTGAGCTTGATGTCCCCTGCAGCCATGGTCCCGAGCCCGAAGGTCCAACTACTTTCTCCCTCTGGGTAGCTGGCTGAGGCCAAGAAATTACTACAAGCTTGTCCCTTGTCAGCTCTACTATATACCTGGGAATTCTTACAGAACATACCAATACACTTGTAGAAAAATTATCTGCCAACTTTTACATGGTCTTGGGGACACTCCCCGCTTCATAGACATACCTAATAGTTCAGCCTGTCCACCCATCTATCCATGCGTATACCCATGTTTGCCTTCACTGACAATTCAGTACTGTATGTGTAAAAGGGTTAATCTTTGTTGTCTGTACCTCCCATGTACCTCTCCAGGTCTTTCTCTTCCTCAGTGACACCATGTTGATCACTCACATTTGGTACACTACGCTTCCCTTTACTCAAATAAATACTTGTCTCTACCTGTCTAACAGTTTTCCTACCCTCCCCACCAACCCCTGGTAACCAACAAAGAAAATTTCCTTCCATATATAAACCCTTCCTTGACTTTTTACAGTAACAGACTAATACAATATTTGTCCTTCTGTGATTGCCTTATTGCACTCAGCATAATGTCCTCCAAGTTCATCCACATTATGCAGTGTTTTGCAGATTCTGTGTTATTCTTTAGGGTCGCATAATATTCCATTGTGTGTATGTACCATAGTTTGGTTATCCATTCTTCAGTTGATGGACACCTAGGTTGTTTCAATCTTTTGGATATTGTAAATAGTGCTGTGATGAACATAGATGTGCATATATCTATTCTTGTGCTGGCTCTCACTTCTTTAGGATTGCTGTTGTTGTTAGGTGCCATCAAATCATTTCCGACTCATAGCAACCCCATGCACAGCAGAAAAAACACCACCTGATCCCACGCCAGCTCTATTATCCTTGCTATACTTGAGCTCATTGTTGCAGCCACCGTGTCAATCCATCTTGTTGAAGGCCTTCCCTTCTTTCGTCGACCCTCCACCTTACCAAGCATGACATCCTTCTCCAGGGAATGGTCCCTTCTGACAACATGACCAAAGTAAGTGAGATGAAGTCTCATTCTCGCTTCAAAGGAGCATTTCAGGTGCCCTTCCTCCAGGACAGATCTGTTAGTTCTTTTATCAGTCCATGGTTCTTTCAGGATTCTTAAACAGCACCACAACTCAAAAGCATCAACTCTTCTTCAGTCTTCCTTATTCATTGTCCAGCTCTCACATACATACTAGGCAATTGGAAATATCATGGCTTGTGTCAGGCACACCTTAGTCCTTGAGGAGACATCCTTACTCCTCAGCACTTGAAAGAGTTCCTTTGTAGCAGACCTGCCCAGTGCTATGCATCATCTAATGTCCTGACTGTTGCTTCCATTGGCGCCGATTATAGAACCAAGCAACGTAAATCCTTTGACTACCTCAACCTTTTCTCCATTTATCGTGATGCTGCTTATTGGTCCAGTTATAGGATTTTTGTTTTCTTTATAATGAGATGTAATCCATACTGCAGACTGTATTCTTCAATCTTCATCAGCAAGTGCCTCAAGTCATCTTCACTTTCAGCAAGCAAAGTTGTATCATCAGTGTATCTCAGGTTGTTAATGATTCTTCCTCCAATTTGGGTGCCACGTTTTTCTTCATATAGTCCAGCTTCTCGGATTATTTGCTCAGCATATAAATTGA